CTTTGCCTTTGAAAAATGGGAAGGGTGATGCAATACTATGGACTGTATTTCTATGTTTAAACAGATTGCAGTGAAATTTATATTTTAATGGGCATTAACATTAGCAGTCCATGTGTCTTTACTCTCAGTTTACTAGTAGCATTTGTAATTTATGAAGTTCACAAACAAGTTGCTCTGCAGAAGTTCAAACACTTGGGGATTTTTTCCTTTCCTATTGTGTAGGTCAAGAGCTGGAATGAGCTGTCTGCAGCCATGCATCATTAGGTTACTACAACTATTCTTATCATTTTCCTGTTTAAAAAACCCAAATCAACCCAACACAAAGATTATCAACATTAGTTCTTTAGAAGTGCAAACACAAATTTCCTAGATTTGTTGAAATACAAGTATTTGTGCTGCTTCTAAGTGAGTGATTTTTTTATTGGGCATTGTTTGTCTCCATGAGTTTAGTTTGCGATTAAAAGGTTGGTTTAATTGTTAAGTTTCAGTCTTTAAAGAAACTGAACTTCATGTTATCACCAAAACTGACTATTGTTCTTCTGTATTTAAGGTCTTATGTCCAGTGCCCACCCTCTGCTGCCACTTCAGAGTTGTTGAGAATGTGCTTACACTTGAGTGCATGACTGTAGGACAGAGGGCCAAACACCATATTTAGAGACCTACTGGAAACAAAACAAAACTTTTGGAGCTTTCAGGCAACCAAAAGCTCCAGGAATGGCTGAAAAATGATGCCTTTTGAGGTTTTTTCCACTGCTTCATTGTAATAGCAGGGAGTAGGGTGTGCCCTGAGATTGCAAGTGAGCCCTGTAATATCAGCATAAATTTTTTTTCCCTCTGCTGATGATTCAAATAAGTGACTAGAAAAACATTTTGGTTGCTTATGTGATGTACCTGTGATACGGGGGCAAGAATGTAGGGACTTGGTAGCCAGAGGCAGCCAAGAGTCATAGACTGGTCTTTGCTGTGGTAGGTACTTATGTGTCCAGGCCAGAGCATCAGTATAACAGGTGACCAAGCCTAAATGAGAAAGAAGACCATTTTGAGTTTTCACAGTTAGTATCATATTGGAATTGTCCTTGTTCAATTCCTCACTGAGGTCTTGTTGGAAATACCTTGTAGAGGAATTGTAGAGGAATGGAAAATGGTCAAAATCCCTTAGCATGTAAAGAAGCAAGGAGGAAAGATAACTGTGCTTCCTTTTCAAAGCTAAAAAAGTCATAAGGTAGTCTAGGAATCAGATCCCTGCTTATGCTTCAAATAAGATACTTCATGCTGACAAGTGCTCCTAAATTTTGTGACCTGTGAGTTTCTACCAGCATCACACAGTCTTTCTTATTCATAATTCACTGTTATCATCAGCTTTTCATCAAAAGAGTTTTGAGAGTGCAATTCCCAGCAGTTTACCATAAACCATGTATGGTTGGTAGACTGCTACTTGGGAGCTGATAATGTAGCCAGGAGCCCAGAGTGCCTGTCATACAAAACACCCTCACAAGCAAGCACAAGTTAGAGTCTGAACATGTACTGAAACTCTGCCATGGTATTTTCACTTATGAGGAAAATGCCACAAATCCGTGATGAGTCAAAATAGTAGGAAGCTGAAATCATCATTGATAAAGCTACACCCGTTTTTAGAGAAAGAGAATAGCACATATAAAATATAATGTAATAGGCTCTCAAATATCAAAGATACTAGAAGGACATATAGGTACATGTATCTGTACAATACAGAGAAAAGAGCCTGCAGTATCCTTTCCTCCTTCGCCAGTCTTGTACAAGTTAGGCCCTGGAAGTGCACTCTGTTTTGCCTGGATGAAATCATACACTTATAAGCAGAACATTATTAGTCCATTGAAACTGAAGATTCGAGTAGGCCCTGATCCTTACTCTTATTGGAATTTTTAATTCTGATTATTTCATATGGATAAAGGTAATGCAATGAAAAACATGCAAAGTCTTGCTAAGCAAACAGACATGTTTTGTAAATAAATAGCAAGTTATTTAGATTACTGAAAATGTTTTTGCAACTGATACTTGCCACTCAAGAAACAGAATGTCAGTGCTAACTGTTGTTAACAATGTTTTATGGATAAGACCAGAGTTTATGACAGAGCAATGCTACTAATAAAACTTTCTTTTAAAACATTTATGCGTCCTCATTGCTCAAGACAAATAAAGGTGTATTTTAGTTAGGTAGACGTAGCTAAATGCCCACAAAACTTGATATTGATTCACTAAATTGTAACCTTATCATGGAAGGAATGCAGAGCATTTCAAGAAAGATAAGGTTTGATAAGGTACTCAGTTCTCTTTTCTGAGACACTCTGAATCCACACCTGGCTGTACTTTCAGCTGCTGTTTTTAGGAAGGTGTAGGATAAATTTAATGTTTTGTCAGTATTGTAGTGGTTTTGCCTCCTATGTCTTTTGCTTTTTTTTTTTTTTTAACTCTTCTTGATTTATCGTAATGTTAAGGAGGAGAAGGCAACATCCTTCTGTAAAGGAAACGATAGGACATTGTGTGAGACGAGGGGCGTAAGGAATATGGTAAGACAAAGAGGTGGAAAAACTCTCCAGAAAGGAGATTGACTATTTTTAAGCAGCAGAATAAAGGGTTGGATCTTGTGTATTGATCTTGACCTAGACCTAAAGCTGCTGCTGTGGGACTTCATACTTCTTCCCTATCAGATGGAAAGACCATATTGTGGCCATCCTATTTAATTTCTCCATAGTCTCTTTATTTGCACTTTCTCAACACTCTTGGAAGACTTTGAAAAATAATCCTTTTCACTGAAGTTTTCTCATATCTTCTCTTTTAAATATGTTCTCTCTATTGCTATAGGAACATTGGGACCTTTGGTTCTTAAAAATATACCAGCTTTGCTCCTTATCTTTGCTGCTGCTTCTGCTTCTTGTTTCTGAGATAAAATGCATAGTGTTCCATTTGTCCCAGTTTTGTACCAAAAATTTTGTGAAGTATATAGCTCCATAAAATTTTTATATGAAAGAATCAGATACAAATCTTCGTGGAAAAGTAATGATTTTTTCTTATATTCTGAGGTTGATTTCTGAGCTTTGATTAACCTTGTTAATAATTTTTTTTTTCAAGCCATGGGTATTGTGAAAAACTCGTAAGATTTTGTAGGTATTTACAGTTTATGGCACTGATCCTGGAAGGTTTTCTTTGGGAATAAGTATTTGGTCTGTAGAGGACTTCACCAGAAAGTAGGCAAGGGGTTGTTACACAAGAATAAACAAGGGTAAACATGGATAACAACACTACCAATTCATACAATCAGTCTTTTGTCAGATAATACATTAAGTATTTCTGTAACAAACACAGCTGAAAATTTCAAACTGGATCGTAATTAGGCTCCTTTCAAAAAGTAATTCATTAATACAATAGGTACCAAATCCCAGTTCAACTTAATTTCACTTTGACTTTTGGACTAAAAGCATTAAGCTTGAACTAGCTAAAAATGTACAAAATGTGCATTCAATTAAAGAGTAATTAGATACTCAATCACCGTTACATTGCACTAGGGATTACCCAAGAAAGAAGAGAGGTGCTACTCACTGCAGTGTGGAAAACAATTTTCTTAATTAGTTCACTAATTGAGATTGAGGAAGTGTTACTATGTCACAGCATTAGTTTACCTAAATGGAACCTTAAAAACACAAAGGTTTTGGCTTCTTTTGAACTATCTCACTTGGATTGTTCAGTCTTATTCACTGATCCAGTACTTTCTGGCCACAAAAATGGAAACTTTCTGTTCGGGGAAGTGGGGGGGTTGGTCCCTGCACCCTTTGTATCAGTAGCCCACTTTAAAAATGTGCCAAGAGTTTTTCCAGAAATGGAGAATAACTTGTTATTACTACTTAGTTGTTGTTTTGTTTTTTTATGTTGCACCTTTATACCAAGTGCTTGGTATAATCCTCTGTGCTGTTACACAGAGTGTAAAGCCCGCTGCTTACAGCCTGCCTTAGGAGGCAGCTGGTAGAAAGCTCTTCAAGTGGACCATCAAATGGTGCTGCTGCCAGACAACGTGGCTTTTGGGGGGTATTGAGTGATAACCAGGGAGTATGAAGAAATCACAACACAGATTGTCTCGTGGGTAGGTGTTGACTTCTTAGCAGCTCTGCTGGTTACTGACAACCCCTACACTCCCTTCCGCTGTCAGGACCGGAGTGGGAACTCTATGGAATGTGTTGACTCTTCCTGCAAGCAGTTGTAGCCCCAGGTGACCATTTGCACCAGGAGCACTTTCAGATTGTTTGTGTGTACACACTGAGCTATTGTTAGCACTAGAATAACCTCAGGGGGAAAAAAAAAAGGGAAATTATTAGTACAACAGAATGAAGGAATGAAGCAGTCAGACACTCTCATACTCACTGCTTCTGAACTGGGAGCACTGGGACAACCTGTGCACCTGGATTCTTAAGGTTATGCCAAAGCACATGAATATGTGTTTGCATGAAATCAAGCATTGATTAGTGCTGCTAATGAATATTACTCCTATTAGGAGAAAATGGGTGCTTGCTTTCTATCCCTTGAGCCCAACTGACTCCCATGAGAGCTGGTACTCAGCACTTCACTCAGTAAGGCCTCTAAAACAGTAAATGGTAAAAAGTTCTCTGTGACCAGTATATTTTTCTTTCTAGTTCAGTACCATGAGCACCAGGTTAGAATCAATTACCAGACTGATTCAGAAAGCCAATTGTAAAACTTTGTTTTGAATTAATAATTTTACCACTGCTTTTAACTTTGCATTTTTACTGCCATTTCCTTCATTGCTAGTAAATCTTGCAGCACTGGCTTTACCCTAGAAGAGAAGAATCAGTACCATTATGTCACTAAAGTATATACCCTGAAACTGCTCCCACCTGCTGTCATGAAATCCCAGCTTTTAGTTTTCCCTGTCTCCCTGGCTGGACATAAACAGTCTTTCAGACCCACTGTGGAGGAATTTCAGTAACATAATTGTTCCATTCTCTTTTCAGAGAGGGGGAAGACAATGCTCCCACAGTGCCCGCAGATGAGAAATGGAAACTTTTGAGACTGCTGCTTCAGTTGAACCACAAAGCCTGTATTGTTTGTCTTCATCTAATTCAGCCTTGATAGACAGCTGTGACAGTTGGTCTGTCCACATGGTCCAGTGAAATTCTGGGAATGGGCTGTACATTAAAAGAAGAAAATATATTGAATCTTCCATTTCACACTGTTAACTATTTTTAAATTGTCATTATCGTTGCTTTTATAGCTACTTTGCCATAGCATTCAATAGTAATCTGTGATCCAAATAGTACTGATTTTAAGCTTGGTATGAATGCTAATATGTAGAAATACTCATTATTGTTTTGAATGTTAGATTTATTTTTATTCCGTATCATCTCTTGTTCCGTCAGTAACAATATTTTCTGTAGAGGGGAGATGCATTCTGCAAAGGTAATAAAAACTCTGTTTGTTCACAAAGAGTATTATACAAATTCAGAATGAATTTTTTGGCAGAAAAGGAGCACTTCTCTGCTAAACATATGCATTTGACATGGTTATCTGAATAAAGCTGAATGACATTTACATTACTAGGAACCTTACTGAAAAAAGGACAGTTTGGAACTAAGTAAAATTAACCAATATTACAATAAACGGAATTGTCTGGATTATTTTCTACTTGGTGAGCCATGGAACTTTGCAATATAGTGTTCAATTGAGGCAGAAAATGTTCAGTCTTTGTTCTCCTGTGAATTATGACAGTTCTATTTGTTCTGTACATTGCTGGGGATGGTGGTCTGGGGACTTTCTCTGCATGTCCTGAGCTTGCTGCACAGCATGGGGATTGCCATGCTGGGCCACACATGACTTATCTGCCAGAGAAGATAAAGCAAGGGTAGTCTGAACCATCCAGTCAGCCTCATAGCTCCTAATTCCTGAGAAGCACCAAGATCTGAAGGACAGAGTCACTGATGTGGGAGGCAATAGCTTTGATCACCATAGCTATTAGTGAGGTTCCCTGTTGTAGCATGAGGGACATTGTAGAGATCTGTGTCAGTGGAAGAATCCCAGAGGCAAAGATGGCAACTTCCAGTCTGGGGCACAATGAAGATGGAAACTGAGGGCTCACAAAGACGAGGCCACTCCCTTGGAGCAGATCAATCATCAATCACAAAGTCATTCCAGGAAATGGTAAATACAGAGTCAGAGGCATCCTTAATCCACCTTGTCAAGGGTTATGGGGAAAACTACTGCTGAAGAATGTTACAAGCCCTCTGAGTAATTTATGTGTATATATGTGTGTATAGTGGCAGCAGAAACAACAGGGCAAATGCACAGAGTGTATGTGAACTGGGTGAGTAGGAACAGATATTGTTGACCACTTGATGTGTTTGTAACTGGGTGTCCTGCAGAAAGACATATTTCCTTTGGAGATAAACCTTGGTAGCATGCATTGCAATAAATGCACAGAAAATGTAAAACAAGCAGTCCACCATGAGGTCATCTGTTCATTTGGGCTTAGCAGAATAGCAGTCAGCATGTTGTTCCTTGGGCTTAGAGAAACTTATATTCCTTAAGGTTATCCCCATCTCCTGCCCACATTTCATGAAGTTATCTACTCATTGGGTTCAAGATTTCAGTGCTGGCCAAAACCACACTTTCCACCCGCGGTGTCTGCAACATGTGTATGTAGCAGATTCACTGGCTACTGCCCCTCTTCCTTCAGCAGTTACTCCCCAAGCAGCTGCAGCCAGAGCCCAACCCCAACACCTGATTACCAGACCGTGGCTTCCCACTGATGAATGATGATGAGAATCATACCACAGGGCAGGAGCAGTCTCTGCTGCAGTGGCCTGGCTGGACCGTCTGTAGTTTTTGACAGGAGCCTGATAACTTGTCTTAGTTGTGAGGTTTGGTACTAAAATCTTGGGAAAATAAAATAAAACTCTGTGAGGTGGAAGTCACCTGTTTTCTGCCAGGTGAAGCTCTGTTCTTGTCTCCTTGCACCCGGCAATGAATGAACCCTCCAAAAGTGGAGTGAACCATGTTCCAAACCTGACAGTTCTCAGATGATACACACAGCTCATTCAGATCTCCCTTTGCATACAACATATTATTAACTACTGAGTGTTAACTGACAGGAACTGTAGTAGTAATATGGCAAATATTGACATTATGATGAAATCTGAACAAGATTTATTCTCTAAATAAACATGTTCCTTATCTTGAAGCTGGCTGATATTCCTGTGGCTGTGAAATACAGATAAATTGTGAAGCAAATGATGTAATGTCTCCGCCAAAAAGTCCATTATTTCCCTTTCCTGTGCTCCCTTCCTGTGTTTGCTGTTCTTTCAAGCATTGCCTTGTGCAGCGAAATTCTAGTCATATAAATACTACTGCTGAGGAATTGAAGTTAGTAAATTTGTCTCAACACTTGTCAGACTTTTTTCCTAGGCTTGGCTTTGAAAGAAAAATAAAACCCACTGGTAAAAATACTTAGATCAGTTTTGTGTCTTAAGAACTGGATCTAATTATAGCAACAAATTCATTCAAAAAACAGACCCATTCTAATTACAGATTGGTCAACCCACGTTCGTTGTGTATTGGGAAAAGTTAAATTAGTCTTTCTGGTTTTGGTAGGAATACACAGGGAGGAATTTTTAGGAAGGGCTCTCACTGTATTATTTCAGTTACACTACATTCATGAGAGGTTTTATTGAGTGTGGCAAGGCTCTACTGCTCTCCAGCTGGAGTTCCACATGCCTGACTTTGTATTAATACTTTTAAGAAATTATAAAACTGATAAGGGGTTTCTGAGGGTAGTGTAAGGCTGCAAATTAATAATTTCCTCTTTAAGCCTACAGCTACTAAAATTTTGAGTTAGTTTGCTCTCTGGAAGTATTTTTAAAGGGAAATGTTAATGGGCATAATGCTTCACATAATTTTAGAGATTTATTAGAAAAGTGAATTGTAAGTTTCCAAGAGATGTTGAGCAGTTGCACACTTGTTGGTCTTGAAATCGATGGCATAATACTTAAAAGCAATTTTGTGCTTCATCAGGCAAAAGCTGGCTCCACAGGCTTCTGATAAACTGTAGGAAGGTATTTGGAATAGGAAAAATCCAGCTCTTGAGAGAAGGAAGGTGAATTGGGGCAGATGACTGTTGTCAGTGATCATCCATCTGCAGGTGATGTGTTCTTCAGTTTCCTCTGTAGTTTTCTGGAGCTCTCAGAAAAATTTAGAGCCTTTAAATTCTTAGTTTCACTAGGAAGCGTGGTATGATGTGCTTTGCACTTTGGGCTGTGATCCTGGGCACGCACTTACCCAAATTAGAGGAGCTTAGAAAACACTGTGCCTCCCTAAAGCTGTCTTTTGCCCTGGATAAAACCTTTCCTTTGTGTGAAAATTAAGTCATAGGCAGGTGGACCAATAAATTCTAGGCCTGATCTCAAAATATACCTGGGAGATAAACAGGAATAAATTGATGTGGGTTAAAGAATAGGCTTGATCCCAGACATTACACTGGCAAGCATGGGGTGGTGGCTGTGTATGGAAACAGATGTGAGGTAGGACATGAGTCTTCAGAGGAAATAGAAGTGATCCCTGGCCAGCATCCTGGTCTGCATCCTAAAGGTTGACTCATCTGTGTTCCTGTCTCTCAGAGGGTAATTGAAGACTACTTACTGTTGCTGAGGAGATAAAACTGCTTAACAGCAGGACAACATAAAGGAAAAAAAAATGTATTGAGAAATTTCAGCTGAGTTTTGCTGAGACTGCAGAAGGAACAAGAAGAGATCCATGCACATGCAGCTTCACCAGAAGTCACACCAGTCAGCATTTTCCAGACCCTGCCAGGGTGCAGCTACCATTAGCACAGACTCACTTTCATTGAGTTTGACTGGTGGGCACAGCACTGGTTCAGTAATGGCCTTGGGCAAACGATTCTTTCATGGTTGTCACATCCACTCCAATGAGAATGAAGGGAAGCTTTCTTTCTTGTCGAAACGGGGGGAGTCCCAGGAGGAATGATGGCTGTAGAGAAAAAGGGGAAAACCTCTAGGGGTTGAGAGCTATGGAAGAAGCACAGATTTTGGCATGTTTTTTCTTGTCTGGGTTTCATGGTGGCATCACCAGCCATGGAGTTTGCTTTGAGATGTGTTCTTCCTTTATACAGCAGTGCTTCCTGCTGAAATGTCAGGTAGCTGTAGAGTCACCCACTACACCTTCTGAGGCTGGACCATGCAGGATGCTTTTGGAAATGTTTATGTGCACATTTATTTGTGAAACTCTAGCTGCCATTGTAAGCACACCTATGTGTGTGTATTTATCTCTTTAGAATGCTACATATAAAAAACTGTTTTAAAAAGAAAAGCAATGTAAGATGAACTGTAGAACCTTAATATATTTCAGTCTGAAGACTATATGCCTAGCATCAGCTCATCAGCTCTGTTGGCATTTGTATGATTTGGTTTCTTCCTTTGCTTAATGAATTTGTGTTAAAGTCCTGTTCCTTTTCCTCCATTATTAATTTTACAGCCCCAAGTCTTTTATACTGAATGCTGTTCAAGACTTGCTCTGAAGACATTCGCTTTGTCATTGAGCCTTCTCTCTTGCAGTAATTTTTTGAATGCTTCTGATGTATTAAAAAACTTATCTTTACAATCACTTTGCATATACTTCTCTAGCATATGAAGATTCCTCCCTGATCACAAGTTATCTGTATGATGCCAGGTATAAGAAAAAGACCCAGCAGTCAGCCCTGTCAGAGAGAGGTTCTTCCTATAGACCTGCAATGTGTGTAGTGTAGTCTTGTTCAGGAGAACTTGTTACATCTTAGTTTAGGCTTACTTGCAAAATAAAAACCCAACATTGACTCAGTAGTCAGATCACCTCTTAAATCTTCTCCCTGATTTGTTGGGATAATTGCTTCTAATGCAAGGTTTGCTTTTCAGTGCTGGGTAATTTTTTGTGATTCTTCCATTCAGTATCTTCAAATGCTTCTCACCAGTGTTTTTCCCATGCCGTTTACAGAGACAGTGGCAGCTTTTTCTTTTGCTCAGCCTTCCCCAGCTCCTGATCTCATCTTGATCCAAAGAGGCCTCCCCTCCCCAAATATCAGAGAAACAACTGAAGGTGAGGTAAAAGAAGGGAAATATTAGATAAACTTGGAAAGAGCTTGCCCTATAAAGTACACAACGAGCTGTTTAAGCCTTGACTAACAAAAAAAAGAAAGTATAAAGATAACAAAGCAAAAACAGCATAAAGAAACTTCCCTGAGTGTTCTCCTTTTCACTAGCAGGGATGTGGTTGGAAATACTCCTTTTCTATTTCCATCTCAACTTGCTTCTGTTGGAAGTGTTCCATTCTGGGTTGTGTAACACCAGCTGACTAACCCACAGCCAACTCCCAAATCAGTGATCAGAAGCCACGTCCAGCCAGCCTTATTCCCTGACACTGCTTCTCTCCGGCACCTTTCCCACCAGTGACAGGGAGTTGGCTGCTTGTCCTTGGACAGCAAACCTTATCCAAAACCCTGGCTGTTCACCACATTCCCCGGGTTGGGTTACCTTCCCCCCCCACCACATCTCCTGAGATGGAAGATGGTAAAGGAATAAAGCCAAAACACAAACTCCATTTTTTTATAAAGTAAAGCAGTGGAGAAGGCTGG